AAAAAAAAAAAAAAAAAAAAAAAAGATTACACTAACAATGTCACCGATTCTCTGACTGAACACCTCTCGCTCCATGTTTTTCATCTGCCTCTTTTCCTCCTTTCACACATCCTCCTCTTCTCCTCTTCTTGCTTCTGTAGACATTCCTTCTCCGTTTAATGTTTCCCCTGTCACCCCACTTGCTATGAACCAATAAGCTTTTCTTCTTGATTTAATTTCCGCAACAGTTGGTGAGACCTGTTAACGAGCACGGGCTGAGCTTTGACACTGGTGAGGTCGGAGGGGCTGGTAGTGCTTGCTTGGTTAACAAGGGTTTGAATACGAAGCAGGGACAGAAATCGCATTGGTGGGATGGAGTTGAGGGAAATAGGATGAGGGTTGTCTGTATGGGCCATCGCAAGAGAAGTGGCCAGCCATGTTACAGTTAAAGCAGAGTTGAAGAGTAGCCGTCATGCCACAATCAGGCATGCTTCAATAGATTGTAATATATATCTATATTAGACTATATGTACACAGAGAGAGAGAGAGAGAGAGAGAGAGAGAGAGAGAGAGAGAGAGAGAGTATTATGTGCTCGATTGATTCACAACTCAAAACCGCATTCAAATGTTCCCATACACATCTGCTATGACAGGCAGACTGGAGAGAGCAGATTCACAACATAGCCATGGAGAGATATTACACAGCGGAAGCCAAAACCAGATATAAAAAATTGAGAGAAAAATGTCTCAACCAATTATTTATTACACCCCCTGCCCCCCTCCTCTCAACCGAACAACTCCAAGAATCTCAACCACGAAAAATTCAGTCCCCACCCTCCAATTAACTCCCAACACAACCCTCAACGAAGCTTCACTGAAACTTCCTCTTCTCCCTAGGACCCCCAGCCTCCAATGAAAGCCCACTTTTGAAACCAGCATCCCATCATGCCCCGAGCCTGTGAGTACAGGCACTGATCTGGCATGAGCCAGATATCAAGTGGCTGCGCCGCAAAGCACCGTGAAGAAGAAGGTGAACCTCGATGAAGAAGATGATGGCTACCCTGATATGGCAGCAACCAGCAACAAGGTCGCTTGATGATGCCGCGGCCAGCCTCAAACTTCCCAATGCTAGTGCTGGAATTAGTGCTGCTCAATTTCCCGTGGTCGCCAACCAGCCAAATGAAAAGAAAAGCCTGAAACTTCAGCCCGACATTTCCTAGACCTCAGAGAGACCAAACAGCAACTCCTATCTGACCGTCCAAACAGTGCAGATCTACGGCCCAACAGTCAAGCTCTACCTACATGCATCTAGACCAGAAACTGCTAAAAGGGAGTCTAGCACAAGACAAGGCCTACAGGCCTACCCCGGGTTTCTTCTTCTTTTAAAAAAAAAAACAAAAAAAAAAACGGTCCTTATGGGCCTGGCTCGTTTTCCATTCTGGGGAGCGTCAGTCCGGTTCCTATTCCCCTGGCAAGTCAAGATCGAATGCGATATGAGAAAACACACTCACACATATGGCTGAAGGGCCCCTGACCACCATTGATTGCTCCCTTGAGGGAGGATTGACTGCCAGCTTGCCCTAACAACTTGCTCCTCTCAGGTTCCCTTCTTGGGCCTGTCAAATAGACCTACTCAAAACAAGAGAAAGTGGTAGGATCGACCCGATCCCATCTCGACCCCATCCTGATCCCATCCCGATCCCACCAGTCCCCATCCTCTCCCGTCCCCATCCCACCCCGATCCCATTCCGAGCTCATCCCAACCCTAGCCCGATCCCACCCCGATCCCATCCCGATCCTATCCCAATCCCAGCCCGATCCTGTCCTGTTTCCATCCTGTTCCTGTCCCGATCCCATCCCGACCCCACCTGTCTCCATCCTTCCTCGCCCCTTCCCCCGTCCTGCTTTTTCTTCCTTTGAATATCTTCTTCGCCTGATTACGAAGGCCTTGCCAAGTGTGCTTCTCCACCTTTCCTCCTGTGGCATCTGTTTTTCTCTAGCCTTACTGGTTACCGGTCTTCTGCTGGGAGCCCGATCCCCAAGTGGGGAGGGTAATTGCTGCCAGTTTGTTAACTTTTTAATACATGTGGCTGTGTTGCCAAGTGCAACTCAGACTATCTTCCAGTTACTAAACATTCTTCTGATCAACTATCCACTTACACTATCACTAACGCGATACCTGCTGGAACCCCGATCCCCAAGTGGGGAGGGTAAATGTTGCCCAAATTTCCGCAATAGCGCACGGCTGTTCCCAGTCTACCTGTTCTATTAAGCACTTGCCACCCTCACCGCCAACCCCTGCCATCCCTGTCGAATACTCGCTTGTCATCGCCCCTAGCAAGAACCGACAAATCGGGTGGTACAGTTAGAGGGTGCTAGGGCTGGCTTCCTCACAGTATAAGAATAATGGCGTCTTCTTCCCAAAACGTGATCTCAGTGAACCCAAACATGGTGGAAAAACGTGTCAATGCCGGTGAATTTTCAAAAAAATTACAAGCGATTAAAAAGTTATCTATTTTTGATTGACAACGAGGATCTCAAATTTCTGATAGATAAGATAAAAGTTCAGGGGATACAGACCACGGAGACACAGAAGGTGGATGGCAAGGAAGAAGAGATAATTGTTTGGAAGTATCCGGAGGAAAAAGTGGCGGAGCTGGACGATCCGCATGAAAGACATGGCGTGGTCATCAACTTTACACGCAATGGTGCAGATCTCCAACCGGCAGAGAAGAGGAAATGGGTCATTGAAAATATTAAGAAAAGAACTCAAACTCAAGCAGTCCGGTGAAACTTTCACACTACAAAACCTGGGCCGAAACAATATCATGGCCATGTTTGTCCGGGAGAAACATGCAAAGGCCGCGACTGAAATGCAATCCAGGAATTGTAATGGTTCGGTCTGTACGGTCACCAAATGGAAGAAATTGAATGCTCAGAGACAAAACCCGGTGTTTTCGGTCTCCTACAAACAGGCACTCTTAAAGGAAAATTTTTGGGTGCAGTTCGACAACATCCAGCCGGGTTTTCACAGTCTGCTGGTGGACAGACTTGAGAAACAGTACACAGCGAACAGGATCCTCAAATGGATCTTGCCAACACCGGAATTTTTGGCCCTGCACTGTGGATCCATGACAACAGTGCTGGAGGTCAAAAACAGACAGCCCTCCGGTATTTCCACAGACTTGGAATTTTCGGATCGAGAACAGAGTAGTGGAAATCAAGGTCTCTACCAAGAACTCCCTGATCTGTTTTCGATGTAGGGAGCGGGGGCATATGGGAACAGACCCCAATTGTCCCAAGTTTCCAAAACAGCCAAGAGAACGCAAACTCCTTCCCAACATGCTGGTGGAAGTGGAGGACGCTCCAGGAATCGAGTTAATCACGGACAACAACTATGATGGATGGGTCTTTGATGACAACCTGGAGGAACCAGATTGGGTCTGGCATTACGGTGATCTGGAACCCGCAGTCAAGAAACCGAACATCTTCCCTCCATCAGATAGCAGATGGAAAAAGAAAGCAACTGGGAAAGTGTCAGGCAACCCAACGAGGATAAACACCGGTCCTCTTATCGACTCCCGGGTGATTAAGGAAGAGAAGGATCGGGAAGACTTACTATGGGACTTGGATGCAGTCAGGGAACAAGCCATGCAGAAATTCAACACGGAACCAACCAGCTTCCGAAGCAGGCTAAAAAATATGGAACAAGCAGCGCTCCGGAAGACCGGAACACAAATAGATAACAAGCGGACGCTGAACAATGAGGGGGGGCAAGAGACCACGGAGGGTGGCCTCAAGAGGAGGAAGGCAATGGATGCAGAGGGGAGAGAGGGAAGCATAAACATGTCCACTGGAAAGAACAAAGAATGCAAGACAGGGGACTCACGGGATAGTGGATCGGACAATATGGCAAACGAAAGTAATGCCGATGCAAGAAGTTCATCAACAGATAGTGAGAGCGATTCCCAACGATCCCTATAGTGGCTCGGACAGTATGTGGAGAAGGTCAAAAGGGAAAGGGAGCATGCGTTTGATATTCGGGTAGCGTGTTTAAAGCACGCGGAAAGATCTCAGAGAAAGGGTAAGATGGGGTCAATCGATGGCATGGGGAGTTCCAATAACCAATTTGATGCTCTCATGAAGGTAAAAGCAGAAGAACTTTTAGAATGCACAGCATTTTGGTACGCTGAAAAGAAGAGGGCAAGAGAACAGGGGTTGAAGGACAAGGACAAAACTATCCCCGACGCCAAAGATGAATTTCAGGATCTGCGCCCAAAGAAGTGGAAGTCCGGAATAAAACAGAAAAGGAGTTGGATGTGGAAGAAAGGGAATTTGAAGAGGAATCAGGACGCGCCCTGCTGGAGAAAGAAGCAGCGGTGGTCTTAGCCCAAACTGACAAATTGAAGAAATTGAATGAGGAATACACCCCCGAATTAATCACGATTACACATATAGCCAAAAATGAGGCTCCATTGGTGGTGGAAACAGCCAGGTCGTCACGACTAACGCTGTTGAACATTCGTCCTCTAATCGCTGCAAGGTATGTCCAAAAAATTGGAGAGTGGCAAATCGCCACGGATGTGTCCTTTCAGATCCCTTGCTTCGAGGACGGCCAAAATGTGGCGGATATCCTCCGGGAAAAGATAACAACTGAATTCCCATTGAGCATTTTTGGGACTGTCCCGACCGAAGTAGACCAGAAAGACACGTCCTGCCGAACGGAACAAGACGGTCCAACGGCACAACACACAGAGCCGGGCAGACACTCCCCCCAGGCATTCTCGCCCTTGATCGTCAAGTTACCGGAATCTACACCGCTGAGATCAGGAATGAGATGGAGACCTGGAGAACGGTAACAGAGGTCCCGTACAACGTTCTGATGGGATTGAGTTTACCAACGGAACTAACGGCAGTGTCGGTCGCATACCTTGTGACCACAGGGATGCTGGACGGGGATGGGGACTTGGACGCAAGAGCATATTCCACTGACTGGGACAAATTTTATAGAAGTGATGAGTCGAATAATGAATCGTTGTGCGGTTTTCCTAACGATGAGAAATAAGACCAGGGACAAGCTACAGACCCGGGGAAAAACAACAATGACAACAATGACAACGAGGGGCCATACAAGATTGAGGAGCAGGGTACGACTTCACCTGCGAAATCAGGACAGGACGCAGGGAGTTCGGAGCCTGGGGACGACCGAATGGGATCTGACTCGGGTGGCCTCGCACCCTCGTAGATGTGCCGCCTATTTAACTATGGTTACAACCTGCCTGAGAAAGTAGGAAAATGGATGAATTCATGGAAGCGATAAACGAGAGGGTGACCCCGGGAGATTGGAAACACCAAGGGTTTGTGATTCGGTGTTGGAACATAAATGGGTTCGGTAACATCATAGACAAGGAAGACAAATTGAACGACTTAATCAAAGGTATGACAGTAGACAACAAGAAGGTTGCATACATCATACTGCTTCAAGAAACCCACCTTACTCTCTCCATCAACACATCAGAATCAAAAACTTTGTAGCAAGGAAACTAGGAGGGATCAAGGAAGAAATTTGGGCGGTGGACAACGCTTCGAGCACGAAAGGCACAACTATTATGATTCCCAACTCGTCTCGTATCTTCCCGACAGGAAGGGTCCTGGACAAGAAAGTTGACCATAGTGACGGAAGATGGTGCTTCATGCACCTTAGGTCACCTTAGGTGGAAAGAAGAGGATTTTTTTCTATTCAACATTTATGCCTCGAATGACTGAGCGGAGAGAACATCCTTTATAGCAAACCTGGGCACCATGCTTCGCCCATTATCATCTTGTATAGTGGCGGGGGATTGGAATGCCACTCTTGACCCCTCAACAGACCGCATATCCCGATCTTCCAACTCATACAACTCACAAGAGGCGTTACCAATCCAGAAATTGATGTTGGACCATGGCCTGGTTGAACCGTTTAGAACCATTCATCCTACCGCAAAAGCCTTCTCCCTAGTAAAAAAGAACCACGCTCATCACACGACTTTCTCTCGCATTGATTACTTCCTGGTATCGAAGACAATGATGGGGGCGGTCAAGGATGCAGAAGTACTACCCTTGGCACCATATCCAGGTCTAGATCATAAGCCGATTGAACTGACAATCAGCTTCGAACAATTGGTAAGGAAAGGAACCAACTTTCACAAGTTAAATAATTCCCTCCTCCTAAGTCAGAATTTTCGAGGAGGGGTGTGTGACTGCTGGCAAGAGCGGAGAGATTCCCGGCTACCCACCCAGGATCGATGGGCCGCCCTCTCGAAGACAGTGGCAAAAATCTCAAGAAAGCTAGCAACCATGAGAAAACAAAGGAGGCAGACACCGGAATCTGCGTTGAAGATCGCAGAGACCAACCTGAGCGACAACCCGTCGTCCCTGCTCTACTCTGAAAATTTCGAGAAAGCACAAGAAGAACTGGCTATGTGGAGATGTTGGGACTTAAAAGGTTTGCAAATAAGATCCAGAATGAACGAATATGAGCTCAGTGAATCCATGTCGAAACACTTCTTCGCCCGCATCAAGGCCAACTCGCGGGCTAGTACAATAGAAAGATTCAAAACCCTTAGTGATTCGGAAGAGACAGTGTCAACCAGTGAAGGAATGCTAGGAATAGCAAAAGATTTCTACCAATAACTATATCAGACCAAAACCAGGTCGCCTACCTCACCTGCCACAAGCGAAGCAGGACAAAGAATGTTACAATATTTGGAATAGACGATATCAACTGAACAAGCGGAAGTTCTAGACAAACCACTAACAGTGGAAGAACTTCACCAAGCACTCAGAGCATGAATAATGACAAATCGCCAGGGATTGATGGGCTAACAAAGGAGTTCTGGGAAAAATTTTGGCCGCTCTTAGAGGAAGACTTAATGATCTTCTACAGGGACAGACAGTTGGGTCAGAGGGGGTCTTGGCAATCTCATAAGTAGCAGCGTTGTCACCTACGTAGCACAGTGAACGTGTTCGCGCCGCTTCATGTTCGCGCGAATGTGTTCGCACGTTCGCGTGAACAGCTCGCGAACATATTCGGGCGAACATAATTTTTCTCCCGTAAAAAAAATAAATTAATTTGGTTTTTGATTTTTAACTCATGATTGGCTACGAATTTGAACATGACTCCAAGGCAAAAGTTGCTTGTATTGTTATTTTACATAACATATATTTGTTTCAGAATTTTCTGAGATTGTTTTTTTTTTTTTTTTTTTATGTTCGTGTTCGGAGGGTTTTTGGCGCTTGTTCGCGTTCGGGCAAACATGTTCGTGTTCGCCTCCGAACGCGAACACGGTGCTACTTAGGTTGTCACATTGTTATATAAGAAGGGATACAAAGAGGACATCAGGAATTACAGACCAATCTCTTTACCGACGCTCCCTTCTAAGATTCTAGCCAAAACGCTCGCTGTGAGAATTAGAAACTTAACAGACAAATGCTTTCACATTGACCAAACGGGTTTCATTCCAGGGCGATATATTTTGGACAATGTACTGACCCTAAAGGAAGCAGTGAACAAAGTCAGAGAAAAAAGGATAAACACAGCCATACTCTTCTTTGACTTTGAGAAGGCGTACGGCCAAGTCGATTGGTCTTTCTTGGATGCAAGTGTGGAACGAATGGGGGTGGGATCGAACTTTAGGAAGTGGGTCTGAATCCTACACAATGATGCCACAGGCTGTGTACAGGCAAATGGGTTTCTGTCGGCAAGGAGACCCACTCGCCCCTTCGATCTTTTTGTTCATAATGGAAGCAATTGCTTCATTCCTACGAAAAGACCCCTCCATTCAGAGACTCCCAGAAGTTAATGCGGGGTCTGCTCACCACATGAGCTTCCCGACCGCAATCATATTTGCAAACGATCTTACGGTCCTGATCCGGGCTTCTGACTCGTTGTTCAAGACTCTAACCAAAGCAATGGGAGCCTTCAGATTGGCGTCGGAAATGAAGATCAATTGGAAAAAGACAATTGGGTGGTGGCTTGCAGATGAGGATTTTCCTGATCTGCAAGGGCCTGAGGCTGCCATGACATGGGATATGCCGGATACTCCTACCCGTTATTTGGGTATTCTGATGATTAGGGAGGGTCTGGCACCCCAAATGGCCCAAAACATTCTTGTAAAGCAAATAAATAAGCTAGGGAGATGGGGGAATGCATTTGCCTCATTAATTGGTCGAGCGCTGGTGCTTATCACCTCGGTATTCTCTATGATCTGGTATATTGCCTGTATATGGACAATTCCGGACAATTCAATTAAGGAACTGAATCACATAGCAAGGACTTATCTATGGACAGGGAACGCCAACAAAAAGGGGAGCATCCCCAAGATTGCATGGCAGTATATCATTAGGAGGCCACTGTATGGGAATCTAGGGATCATAGATCCTAAATACGAGACAAAAGCTGTTACATGTTGCGCCTGCACAGGAGGGCCATTTTCCAGGCCCTGCGTCGTTCAGGCTGGAAGCCTGAATTTCGGGCTCAAGGCCTGGAAATAAGGGTCTGCAGACCCCATGACGGTTCACCCCAAAAGCCTGACATCCGGGGCCCACAGGCCCTGCATCGTTTCAGCCAAAAAGGCCTGAGCCTTTTCAGCCTGAAACTGAGGGTTATTTCCGGGCCTGCAGACCCCATGACGGTTCAGCCCAAAGGCCTGACATCCGGAGCCCACAGGCCCTGCTCGTTTCAGCCAAAAAAAGGCCTGAGCCTTTTCAGCCTGAAACTGAGGGCTATTTCCGGGCCTACAGGCCCCATGACGGTTCAGCCCAAAAGCCTGACATCATTTCAGCCAAAAAAAAAGGTCTGAGCCTTTTAGCCTGAAACTGAGGGCTATTCTCGGCCCCTCGTCAGACCAACCTGCCCTGATACAAGCACATTCGGGCATTGGCAGGAGTGACCTGCCCTGAAGCTTCCTCAAGGGCTAGCACGTGCAGGCATTGGCAAGAGCAGCCTCCTGGACGGGCCAGCACTATATAAGACTGGCCCGCCCTACAGGTTGGGACAGACGAGAGGAGACTGCCCAKGCACTCGATGTGCACTTCTGCAGGAGGTAGTAGTCTTCAGGATTCGGCTGCAATAGTAGAGTAGCGTTAGCAGTAGTCTTCAGCGCTGGGCGCTAGTAGCAGTAGGCTAGAGTAGTGGAGAGAGGAGGCTGGCGGAGGCCAGGGCTACTTACCTGTGGCACCATAGCTCCAGCTTCGTCTTCAAGGTACCTGCAGCAGGACGCCACCTTCAGGGTGACTTACCTGTGGCGCCATAGCTCCAGCTCGTCATCGAGGTACCTGCAGCACAGCGTCACCATCACAGGTTAGTACCTGGCTCCGGAGAGAGAGAGAGAGAGAGAGTTCTTCTTCTTCCTCTTCTCAGTCCACCATCTCCCTCCCTATCCTCTCACTGTCTGACTTCACTGCTTCGGCAGACTACG